GCTCGGTGTTGGAAAGACAGTTAAATTAGAGCGCGTCTTTGTGTGTTTTCGTTTCGTTACCTTGGTGTTCTTTTCCTAAGTTAAATTAGTTTTATGAGTTTCGAGTTTGTGTTATTCTATTCTTGTTCTTTTGTCAATTTTCGGTGTCTCAAAACCAGTTTTCGCCATCTTACAATACTGTATCATATTAACGTTTGATGATACTTCAGGGAATAATTCATAATTCAGCGAATATGTTGATTTTATTCAGAGATCTTTTTTTTTTTTAATTTCGAGCATTCGAAAGCAATGACTCTCGTTGTCAGTCACCGTTCGTTTAAATACCTGGAAGCTTGAACAACGAGTATGAGGCAATTACTAGATTAGGAGTAACTCCGCATGAAATATTGAAATGAAATATAGATGATTTTCTTTTTTTATTTTAGCATAAATTTTAACATTAATAAAATCATCGTCGAACTTATCAAAATTTAAGAACTTGGAATTGCTGTTTACAACGAAAAATTCTTCGAGTTCAAAGAATTAAGAAAGGTATCGAATAGTGGTAAGATGATTAAAATCATCACTGCCAATTCCTCGTTTAACATGGTAGGAAATGCAATCGGTTCTTCAAATTATTATCCCTGTGCACTGGAAAATTTTTTCGTTATAAAGATATAACAATTCGAATCTTTTCTTATATTTTTCTACTGATACTCTTTGTGCTAAAATGAAAGAAGAAAATCGTGCAATTGCGTGAGAAATGAACGAATAGAATTATTTTATTTCGATATTTCCTGTGTATATTCTTAACATAATTATCATCATTCGTTATTTAAGTTATAGCATTGAGACAAACGGTAATTGAGAATTACCTTTGTTAGTGTTGGATGAAATTTAATAACAATAAGAAGAATTATTTATTGAATTACAAAGATTATCAAACAAATATTACGTAGAAATATAATAAATTTTTCACAATTTTATAATGACCTGAATTCATTAGATATTTCCATCCCATGCATACTTGTCCACTCATTCCAATACATATATATTTAAAAATCTATGTAACCATTACCACAACCTTTCGGGTGCAGTCTCTCGTGGAAAATTTTCGACAAGGCGCGAAACGTCGAGGAAAACCCTCAACATCAGACCACGAAATCGATTATGGTAAATTACATATACTAATGGCAGATCCTTAAACATAATGACTACCTAATGTGTTGAAATCGAAAAATAAAAGGTGGAAGGCGAACAACAGTTTACTTTTGTGGTACTTGCCATAGGAAGCCATTTTAACATGTAGGAGATTATTTCAAAAAGTACTATACTTTAAAGTAATATAAATAACTATGAACTAAATATTCGTATTTTGATATTACACATTATTTACGTTTTCGTTTTGTTAATTAAACATTAAACTTTAAATAACTGCAAGCAATTACTTCATACATAACATGTGGTATTAAAGCAGAAAAATTAAATCAGAGTTGGCCGAGTACAAGTTAGGAAAACAATTATAGTGCAAAGGGTTAATATTCGGTACCTCGTGCTACTCCATACGATTACTATTACGACTTCATTATGAGACATTTTCTCTGCACCTCTGCACTGCTCCAGCAGGTAAGCTTCCATTGTTGAAGGATTAATAAATCTTAATAATTGCTGAAATTATTAGTAAATACTTGTATCGAAGAACTGGAAATTTCATGAACATTCGTTTTTTGGGAAATATTTAGTAGCAGATACGAGAAAGAAGATTTGAAGTCAGAGGTGCAATGGGTGTGGTTAGGTTAGGTTAGGTGAAATCGATATAGAACCTATTTATATCGATCTTCAACAAATCGAGCAAAATTTATTGAAATTAGCGATCAACGATTATGACTTTAATAGTTAATCGTCAATGTTAATAAACGATTATAGTAAATATGTAATCTCTAACTGCGTTTAATGATTATAATTAAAATATTTAATCACCAATTGCAATTCACGATTAAGCTAGATATTTAATCTTCCATCAAGATTCACGATTATAATTGGAATATATCATTGATGATTTCAATAGTTAATCATAAATAAAATAAACCATTTTAGTAAATATGTAATTTTTAACCGCGATTAACGATTAAAATTCGAATATTTATTCATGAATCGCAATTAACGCTAGATTTACGGGATCCGTCAATGTGATGGAAGGTTTGCTCCAATTATACGATGGTAACAGATTTAGTTAACTTATATTAACCCTTTGCCTACAGCAGACTTTGAAATGCACCGGTCGTACCACACGGATAGGAATTCATTTACAATGTCCGCCGAGAACGGCAAAATTTTGGGTAGAGATGCGCCCTCCGTGTCAGAAAAGCGAACTGTGTTGAGCGCTTATATGCGCCCTCCGTGTCACAAAAGCAAACTGTGTTGAGCGTTTATATGCGCCTTCCATGTCACAAAAGCAAAATTTCTGAGCGCGTATATGCGCCCACAGTAGCCAAAGGGTTAAGACTGTTAATGTAATATATAATTGTTTTTAAATTAAACTAATCGTTAAAAAAAGGACACGTGATTTCCTTTAACTGTTAATTTGACAGGTGTCCTTAGAAATAGGTATAGCGTTCGTAAACATAGTGTTAACATAGATTTTTAATATATATGGACCGTTTATTTTGAAAGTGATACAAATCCATTTTCTGTTGTTTTGAGAAAATTGAGGGTTAGCATATTTGTCAATTAAAAAATATATGTTAATTATGTCAGGTCTAGCAATGTTTCTACTAATTTATGAATATGTAATTTGATTATATAAATTTCTTTCAGACGAATTTAACTAAAATAATGTATATTTTCGGAATGCAAATGGACTTACACCACTTTCATAATTAGTCAATTGTAAGAGTCATTTAATCCCAATTTTGAAAAATTAAATATATTTAACTTAAAATATATTTCGTATAAATCCAATTTCGTTTATAAATAATAACAAGAAATAAAATAGGAGTAGTATTCTTTATTTTGAACGTTAATTATAGATAAATAGATTTATTTATTTCAGCTTATACTGCCAAGAAATGGACTCGGTTTTAAATAAGTCTATCTTATATCACTCTTTTACTGTTCATCTCGTTCATAGAAGACATATATATACTCACACATACACATGAGCCTTCTGTGTACAAACGTTGAACGTTAATTATATTTATATATTGTTAAACTTGATATAAGATATTGGTATTATTTATTTATGCTCTTCGTGTGGCAGTGTTTTGAAATATTCATAATGCTCAGGAGGTATATAAGGTAATTATTGCCTTATATTTTTCGAATGTAATAGGCCTGGCATCGTAATACAAAGGCACCAGGACGATTTTTTTAAATTTTGGCGGTCTTTCCCGTCACGTGGGTGATAAATCTATAGTCTTAAGTTCTATGATCTTCGTTAATATTCTCAATTATCATAAAATGATATCGATTTACTATTTCTTCTTACCTATATCACTATCTGTTGTTAATACGAAATTATCCATTTTTGAGGAAAATAAAATAAGTAACCAAAAATAGTAACTTTCGACACGCGGAAAAACAAATGTAGCCACTAGTGACCACTGACCCCGCCACCTATCTATGGAAATTGGACTTACACCACTTTTATAATTAATAATTACGCAATTTCTTTTATCAGCTAATTTTAAATTGAACAAAGCATTGACATTTTTTAAGATATTAAATACTAACTAGTTATAAATAAAAAGTTTACAATAAATTACGTGATATCTCATTTCTTTTAAAAATGTACCTACACCACTTTCAAAACGAACGGGCCATATATTGATGTAAAATAAACGATGTCTGTAAGAACGAATGGGTGGATCGAGTATGAGTTTAATGAGTAACTGTAGTATAGACTGTATACTTATGTGATGTATGAAAGAAAAGAGAACAAATGAGAGAGTAGTTGGATAGGTCAGTTACAATTGAGTATTGATTGAGATGAAACGTGTGCACAAGTATCGTGGGAAATTGTAAACGCAATTAGATATATTTCATCGATCATTTTTACTCTGTGATATAATATTGTTCAATAAATATATGTAGGATGGCGAAACTGGTCTCGAGACACCGAAAATTGACGAAAGAACATGAACACGATAACACAAACTCAAAACTCGTAAACTGATTTAACTTAGGAAAAGAACACCAAGATAACGGAAACGAAAACACTCAAAGACGCACTCTTTTAAAACTCTCTTTCCAACACCAAGCGACTCACGCTTATGCTGGTCGCAACTGATTTCTAAGGACTCTGTTTTGGTTGTCAAGGATCACGGTTTTATGCTTTCCTTAACCTACGCTTCACCTCCCTGTAGGGGAGCCATGCAACTTAATCCTTTGCACTCGAGAGGCGCCCTTCAGTCGCCATTTGATAAAATTTCGAAGATCGATATTAATTAATATGTCAAATTTAAAATAAAGTAACAGTGTGGGAGGTATCGAAATTAAATAATTCTACGTGTCAATTATTATACTGTTTCTTTTTTACTGCTCAAAAAGATATCGTCAGCTTTGTAGTAGAAAATTTTGGTACTCCTACTCCTCTTTAGCCAAAAAATCGTTCAGTGCAAAGGGTTAATTTTGTTATATAGAATAACTTTTCCATTTGCTTCTAGAAGATATCGATCGATTTACAATTTGTTTTTAATGGGTCTAGCCGGTTCTCAGGGACCAGCCTAAACTAGAACCAAAAGGTACTAATTTTTGGTGTTAAATTATTCGTCATCTTTGGATCTAACGTTTGGGAATTTCTGTTATAACAATTGGTACAGTATCTCCAAGTTTTATAAACACTTGGCCCGTCGCCCGTGGCCCACTTGACAGTCTAGTCTAGGCCTGAAGCAAAACAGGTTGGGCACTTCACGTGTTAAATATAATATCCACGATTGACAATGGTAGACCTATACGATTTCTGATCCACGTAATAATACCTATGTATCCCCGTAAAAATAGCTTTGGAATGATGGTTTCAGGTGACGAAATGCACGTTCCACAAATACGGGCCATCAGGATCCATCCAAAACCACGACGCGTTATGCGTGATGGCGCTGAATGTCGTTAACGAGAAGATCTATGTGTTCCTCTGGTATTGGTTCATCATTCTCTCGGTGATAACCGGTTTTGGATTGCTTTGGAGGATACTGACTATGGTGTTGCACTCCAGGTTACTACTATTTATTGCCTATACGTATTCTACGGCTTATCGACCGTAACCTTTCCGAGAATATCGCTTCTCGGAACTCATACGATCGACTGTGCTTCTAAAACCGTGACAATACGCTGTGGAACTTCTGTGCAACTTGTGATTTCACGCGTGATAGCGCGAGTATCGCGGGATTATCGTTATTTCGAGGAAATACTCGTTAAAATACGAAGCCTTCTGTAAACGATGGCAACGTTCGGCCGGTGATGATGATTTCACGTGGAAAAATATGTGGAATATCGTGACACTACTTAGCGTTACGGTTTTTCCGACAGAGAGGAAACGGAAATTATTTCGGACTTATCACTGTAGTTAAAGTTTGGATAAAGTTTAGATAAATTCAGAGTCTCCTTTCGTCCACGGATTTCATATTCGCGTTGTGCTTTGTTTGAAATTATTTGCACGTGTTTCAAAATTTGTAGATTAACGTGTAGATAATTGGAGAATTTTCTACTTTCATTTTTATCATTCTTTATTTATTTATTTTATCCAGTTAGTTATTTCTGAAATTTTGCGAACATTGCTTTATTCATGATCTTAACAAAAAGATATTTATATAGGTTTCGAATCTCGTGTCGTTTGATTTTTGTATTAGTATGGAATTATACACGGGTTAGTTGGAGAGAAAAATTTTGTTTTATTAATTGAGAAATTGAAAATGTAAAATAACTTGATAATATTGTTCATAGGTATCTTTTTAAATTAGCGAAGTAAACTTCTCAAAAATTTTAAATATATTTTATTTTAGCTATTACCATTAGCTATTAGCTATTAACAATTACATTACAAAATATAATAAGTTTGAATTGTTTTCTGAATAGAAAAAAGTAGATTTTAAAAATAAAATTAGCCTTTTTTCATTAGCTGGAAAAAAAATTTCATAGGATTTTATTTTAGGTAAGTTATTTTTTCAGAGTTTGTTAATAGTAAAAGAATGTCTATAATTTAAAAGTAAATTTTATAAAACTATACTAACATTAACATATTTATTTATTAATTTATTAAAACATTTTTATTTGCATGTAAATTTGTAACTATATATATATATAATTTGTAATGGCTTATAACGCTTATGGTTTATCAAGAGGAAAGCAAATAATAATTGCCATAATTATTGGATCTTATTTTTAATAATAAAATAGACATTTTTTCGATAGTATTGTCATACTTGGTCTTTATATCTCTAAACAATAGTATTTCATTGCTATTTTTTACCAATTAATATATTTCAAGATATTTTACGAATTACAGGATTTTTTTGAAATTATTTTATTGCTACTTTATTTTTCATTCGACAGTTAATTTTCAATAACTTTTCGATAATATATTTAAAAAGAAGAATTATTACAATAGAAGGGACAAATTTAAAGGCATAATTTATTAAATAAATATAATAATTTGACGTTGTTACTTTATTATTTTATAATTAATTTATTTATTACAAAGAAGAATTATTACAATAGGAGAGACAAATTTAAAGGCATAATTTATTAAATAAATATAATAATTTGACGTTGTTATTTTATTATCTTTTAATTAATTTATTTTAAAATTAAGTCTTCCTCGTTTCACTTCGAATAATATATTTCTCCACGTAAAATCATTTCGTTTCCTCTTTACATTAAATCACGCTGATATAATTTTCTGTCAAGGCACTTTACGTAGCTTCCACGATTATTTAATATTTGCTTAACATTATTTACCACGTAATAATTTTCCCACGAATGTCTAACATTTTCCAACGTTTATTTAACCTTTTGTACTCAACAAAATTCAAGAAAATTCATACTTAATGTAATCTATGTTAAATTTAATATAATATAACGATACACGGAATACTAAATTAAAAAGATTGGAAATTCTATACATTAATTTACACGTGGTTTTTGTTGTTGTTGTTGTTGTCAAAAGTATCATCGAATTTTCAGCAAAGGAGTCTTTGAGTGCAAAAGATTAATGTTAGCGAAAATTTCTTAATTTTATTAACCTCGTTGGCATTAAACCTGTCATAGTTAAATTCATAGTTCATTTTTGAACTATTAATTAAGAATTCTATGTTCGATGTTATTGCTTTCGTCTTCGTTGTTGTGGCTTCACAACTTTTTTATGAAAACTCATATGTATATGGTGTATTTCATTCATTAAAGCATCAAATGACCAGTCATCATAGCATTAACACTAGAACTATCAAATCAAAATCAATATGGCTAATTTCAAACATTCTTCTTTTGGAATTATTGAAAAGATAACAATATTTTTGGTAAAATTAATAGTGATTTTTATTGAGATAGAGACGTAATTACATATATATTATTTAATTAATTTAATTAATTAGATGTTTATGTATACTCATATGTAGTTTCTTCGAAAGTATTCAACATTCTATGTTTCAAGGGAATTTTGAAATTTTTAAGTATAATTTTTAGTGCTCTGTAACCAATCTTAAAAATTTTCTCTCAAAATCTCATTTAAAAAGAACTATTAAAATTTTAATACTCTACGAGTATGCTTTATGTTTACCGTTATGTTATAACTGTATATAAATTTTTATTACAATTGTTACTTAATTACTTTCGCTATAATATTTTAACATTCTCGATGTTTATATCGAGTATTCTCTGGAATGCGATATCTTGACGAAAAGAAATTCACTTTTGCTATTTAAATCGCATTTTAGATAAGGCAATAAACATATTAGAATAATAATATTAACTGATTTAATTTAAATATATTTTTGATTTCAACTGTTGTCCGATTAAATTTGGTAAATAATATTAACGAATCTTTAAATATTAAAAATATAAGTTTTTGAATATTAACGAATCTTTGAATATTAGAAATATAAGCCTTTGAATATTAACGAATTTTTCAATGTCAAAAATATAAATTTTTTAATATTAACGAATCTTTGAATATTAAAAATATAAGTTTTTGAATATTAACGAATCTTTGAATATTAGAAATATATGCCTTTGAATATTAACGAATTTTTGAATGTTAAAAATATAAATTTTTTAATATTAACGAATCTTTGAATATTAAAAATATAAATTTTTGAATATTAACAAATCTTTAAATATTAAAAATATAAGTTTTTGAATATTAACGAATCTTTAAATATTAAAAATATAAGTTTTTGAATATTAACGAATCTTTAAATATTAGAAATATAAATTTTTCGAAAGAATATCCAGAAATATTTTTTCCTTTGCAATATAATTTATTTCACTCTTGAAGCATAGTGTATTTACTTTTTATTTTCTTCGAGTATACTCGCGATTGCTCAAAAATAATTAATCGCTCGCATAATTAACAGTATAATCTTAACTTAAATAATCTTAACTTAAAATCTTAAATTTAAAATTAAAAAATTCGAAGTAACCACTTATAAGCATAATATGCAATACTAAATCAGATATCGAGGTTTGGTATTTCTAGTGTTAATCAGCATCAGCTTTACTTGATATTATTTAACAAACTTTCTCATACGAGTAGGAGCGTAATATTCAACAAGATCGTGTTCTCCATGGCTTGTCCCGGGAAATACAATCCGTGGAATGTGTTGGCGGTCACCCATGAATGCCACTACGGGGACTGGGTGTTTCTCTATTATATAGCGAAGAACCTAGACAACTACATATTCAAGGAACTGCTGGTGAAACTCGCCGAGGAGTTGCAAGAAAGGCGTCAAGCTCTATTCGGTATCTCCAATGAAGAGAAACCGTTAACTCCATGAGTGTCTGCTTTAACTCGTGCATGCATAATAAGTACTTAATTATAAGATCGTCCCTGAGAAATACGAATCCTTCGAAAAAACAACGAAACTCACGGAATGGAGAAGTCAGTAAACTGGTGCATGACTATTACAGAGGATAAGGGAATGTAAACTGGTTAAGATAGAATCTCCATTGAGGATCGAAGCCAAAAGAATGCATTTTTTTCTATTTTCGATTTTCGTATGTTGCAAAGAAAAGAATATACAGTACGTGTTGATCTAAATTGAAAGTACGAAAGTACGAAAAAAGGAATACAAGAATTTAGAATTAATTTAAGTTAGAAATATGTCGCAGAAAAGATGCAAATAAAAGCTAAATTCTGAATATTGCAATCTAAAATTAAAGTACATATATCCTAGGAAAAGAAAAGAAGTATTAATCTAAATTGGAATTATATCGAATAGAGGATGTAAATAAAACCGAAATTCGGAAAATATTGCAACGAAAAAGAATATAGAATTTAATCTAGAATTAAAGTATATCATAGGAATTATTAATCAAAGTTCGAAATATATAGTAGAAAAAATGTAAATAAAATCTAAATTCCGAAAAAATACTGTAATAAAAAGGAATATGGATACTAATCTAAACTTAAACAGGAAACATATTACGAAAAAAATGATAGAAAGAATTGAAAATATGTTGGATATATCGTAGAACCAACATAAATATTAATTTAAATTAAAGAAATATTGCAATAAAAAGGAATATAAATATTATGTGAAATAAACAATTTATTGCAAAAAAGTGTATCGATATTAAATTTAATTTAAAAAAATATTGAAAATGAAATATACAAGTATTAAACTAAATTGAAAAAATATTACTCAATTATAACAATTAATATTAATTTAAAGCAATAAAATTACACACGATTTTTAATACACATATACATTAATATACATATGTATATATGTACATATAGGTAAATACAAATCACTATCGAGTTTATATCACGTATTCTTTTACAAAAGATTTTATTGGGTAAATTAAAGAAATATTGCAGTAAAAAGGAATATAAATATTATGTGAAATAAACAATTTATTGCAAAAAAGTGTATCGATATTAAATTTAATTTAAAAAAATATTGAAAATGAAATATACAAGTATTAAACTAAATTGAAAAAATATTACTCAATTATAATAATTAATATTAATTTAAAGCAATAAAATTACACACGATTTTTAATACACATATACATTAATATACATATGTATATATGTACATATAGGTAAATACAAATCACTATCGAGTTTATATCACGTATTCTTTTACAAAAGATTTTATTGGGTAAATTAAAGAAATATTGCAGTAAAAAGGAATATAAATATTATGTGAAATAAACAATTTATTGCAAAAAAGTGTATCGATATTAAATTTAATTTAAAAAAATATTGAAAATGAAATATACAAGTATTAAACTAAATTGAAAAAATATTACTCAATTATAATAATTAATATTAATTTAAAGCAATAAAATTACACACGATTTTTAATACACATATACATTAATATACATATGTATATATGTACATATAGGTAAATACAAATCACTATCGAGTTTATATCACGTATTCTTTTACAAAAGATTTTATTGGGTAAATTAAAGAAATATTGCAGTAAAAAGGAATATAAATATTATGTGAAATAAACAATTTATTGCAAAAAAGTGTATCGATATTAAATTTAATTTAAAAAAATATTGAAAATGAAATATACAAGTATTAAACTAAATTGAAAAAATATTACTCAATTATAATAATTAATATTAATTTAAAGCAATAAAATTACACACGATTTTTAATACACATATACATTAATATACATATGTATATATGTACATATAGGTAAATACAAATCACTATCGAGTTTATATCACGTATTCTTTTACAAAAGATTTTATTGGGTAAATTAAAGAAATATTGCAGTAAAAAGGAATATAAATATTATGTGAAATAAACAATTTATTGCAAAAAAGTGTATCGATATTAAATTTAATTTAAAAAAATATTGAAAATGAAATATACAAGTATTAAACTAAATTGAAAAAATATTACTCAATTATAATAATTAATATTAATTTAAAGCAATAAAATTACACACGATTTTTAATACACATATACATTAATATACATATGTATATATGTACATATAGGTAAATACAAATCACTATCGAGTTTATATCACGTATTCTTTTACAAAAGATTTTATTGGGTAAATTAAAGAAATATTGCAGTAAAAAGGAATATAAATATTATGTGAAATAAACAATTTATTGCAAAAAAGTGTATCGATATTAAATTTAATTTAAAAAAATATTGAAAATGAAATATACAAGTATTAAACTAAATTGAAAAAATATTACTCAATTATAATAATTAATATTAATTTAAAGCAATAAAATTACACACGATTTTTAATACACATATACATTAATATACATATGTATATATGTACATATAGGTAAATACAAATCACTATCGAGTTTATATCACGTATTCTTTTACAAAAGATTTTATTGGGTAAATTAAAGAAATATTGCAGTAAAAAGGAATATAAATATTATGTGAAATAAACAATTTATTGCAAAAAAGTGTATCGATATTAAATTTAATTTAAAAAAATATTGAAAATGAAATATACAAGTATTAAACTAAATTGAAAAAATATTACTCAATTATAATAATTAATATTAATTTAAAGCAATAAAATTACACACGATTTTTAATACACATATACATTAATATACATATGTATATATGTACATATAGGAGTTTCCGAAACTTAACCTTTTTGTACTGGCTCTGGGTCTCATACAACACGGTTCCACACAACACGGCATTTTCTAGGAAACTATCTACCGTGTTATAGGAGAGTTACCTGTATCTTCTAATTAGCGGTTATATTCGAAATGCAGTAATTGTCAATTTTCATTCGATTTTTACAATTGTAGTATACAAGTAGCTCAGGCGTTCCGGTCACCAATGTCCATTGTGACGTCACAGGAGAAACCGTGACCGGTCATATATGACCAACGTGGCAGTCAAAGTGTTAAAGATTTCCAATCGAAACAATCGAATTTAAAACTTGGACGATATACGAATCGAATCTTTCCTTCATTTTGATGACGCTGCACATTTGTCACTGTCAAGTTCTTCAATTATTTCGCATTTATGTAATCGCTGTGGTTAGCGTAAAACGTTTCCGTTTTAACCATATCAGGATCCTACGTGAACGGCGCCATTGTTATATTTAGACTGCATTCCGTACGTACGTACGATGATTGACTTTTACTCGTTGCCATACTAGAAGTAACGTGTAACGTAAATATTGTCAATTTGCTGTTTAACAATTCTATATTTATTACAACTTATAATATACACACTTCACAGAAAGATTACAACGATTAGGTATGTGTGGTGAAATTTCTCTTAATACTATTATTATCTCGTCTCTGTTCACTTTCTCGCTTTTCATATCAGACTGACTCTCCTCGCAACATATTGGTTCCGACCTATAACAATTGCACGATACCACGCATTTTAGATCTACCACTCGCACTTCCGAAAACATACATACACCCAATTCTGCTTTTACACGAACTTCTTTTACACGATTTTAATTTAACACGAATTAGGAAAAAAATTTAATTCTCTTTTTACACGACTTATTTTGATTTAACACGATCGACTCAAATTTTTGGCTTAGCCAAAACACAAACACAACGATTAATTACCGAATTCGTTCTTAAATCCACTGAAACATCGGCACCACAGGAGGCTAGTCCTAATTTTGTTCAAGAGATTACAGAAAGAATTTCAGCAATGGAGCACGAAGACGATAACCAAGACATTTCTAGCGATAGCAGTAATATTGCAGTCTTACGCAAACGTGTGCGTTTATTGTCAGAAAGTGACAACGAATAAAATCTTTTTACGTGTAACTCGTATTATCTTGCTTAATTTTTGTGTTCACGAATTAGTGACGTGTTTTTTTCCTTTTCAAATGATAATTTACTTTGTACGATACACGTGCAATCTTTATGAAATAAAATGTTTAAGATCCTAACATGAAAACTCATGGTTTATTGTATTATTTTTGCTGATTTCTTGGGACTGGAACCAATCTTCTATTTTTCCATAGATGCAATATATTTTTTTACACGAATTTTTTTTACGCGTATTCTTCGGGAACGTATCTATCGTGTAAAAACAGAATTAGGTGTATTTACATTTGTGCCATCACTCGACCCCACACACTCGCATTCACACTATTAAAACCAAATCCACAAATATAAAGGTAACAACACAATTTGCATAATGGAATCTTTAGACAGGAGGCGTTCAAAACTTTTAGAGGCCACAGATACTTAATGACGAGTTTAGTCTGTCGTGAGTTTTTCATACTTAAGATGGCGCACAGATAAACGTCCTACTAGTAATAAAATTATACTTAACACGTTTTGACATAAGTAAAATTAATATAAATTCTAAGAATTCTTATAATTTTAAAAAATTGAAAGTACTGTACTGATTAAGACAAGTGAAATTAAATACTTTTTCAATGGATCAGTTTTTAGAATAAAATCGTAATACAAGGGGTTATAAGATCCTGAGGGCCCTTTTCAAAGAAATTTATTGCAGTGCCTTTCTTTTTTGTTATTTCTTTTCCTTCTTTGTTTCACATATGCATAATGCATATAAATATTATATACGTGGATATAAAATATTTTAAAGTCAGAGAATTTCTATGGTGGTATTTGTACTTTCCATAGTTAAGATCAACGTTCAACTATGGTTTTGTTCTTATGGTCATATAAATATTATTTGCGTAATGCAAATTAAACATTTGCTTGTAGATAGTATCGAATTTTCATTTATTTTGTACTTAGCAACGAGATCGTGCAATGCAGACTTGAGTACTCTAACATTAAGTGTTCCGATTACTCTTGTATAAGAAATTTTAAAGTCAGAGAATTTCTATGGTGTCTTAAATACGTGTTTACTTCGTCCATTGATTAATACAGAAATTAATATGACGACTCTCTAGCTTTTAAGAAAAATTGTCAAAGAGACGACAATTTTTAAAAATTCTTCGTTGTCCATGTATCCAAAATTCAAGCTACTATATAATTGCTAGGAAAACACTGTATCGATGAATCCACTA